CACAGATGGAGGTGGCGACGTTCCGAGGAGCGACCATTCAGATGAAGAAGCCATCCTCGGTGCTCATCTCCTGGACCTGCAGATTGATGAAGGAGCTGGTGGTGACGATGGGCGCGGCGAGGGAGACGAGGGAGAAAATCCAGGTGGCGCTGTCGGCGAGCATGAGGATGGAAGGGGTCGCTCTAACGGATGGCTCGATCACGGCGGCGAGGTGGGCGCGACTGACGCCCCGCCGCTGCAACCTCTGCCCTCGCCACTTCCACCCCCGCCCCCGCCAGAGTTGCAAGTCCCGCCACCGCCGCCGCCGGATGCTGTTCCGAGAGCAGGCGGTCCACGAGGCATGGCATGTGCCATGGTGACAGCCCCCGGTAGCAGGATAGGGTTCCATGAGTCCAAGAACGATTTCCAAGCTAGTTGCACCCATGCGTCTCATGGCAACGCGTGAATTTTGTCTCGGAAGCAAACGCTTCGAGCACGCATGAAGGGCCGACCTCGTGGCCTCATGGGCCCGTGGTTGGCCGCGGGCATGTGCATAGGGATAAAAGAAGAGCACGCGGCTGAAGCCCTAACTCAGTCTATCTGCGCGGACCTTGATTTGCGCCAGGCGCATGGAAATAGCTTGCAACTTTCTGTTGGAGGCCGTGGCTTGCTGGCGCGCGAGAGGCCGCGCGCTGGCGGCGAGCCCGGGGAGCCTGCGTTATAAGCTGTTTCCTTTGATGGCGTAGCGCATGGCTCGGCAGCGCGAACCGGCGTACGTGCATGTTTGCATGCGTCGCGCGCGCTTGTTTTCTCGCGCCGCAGTGACATTCCCGCCTTGGCGCAACGTCACCGCGCGTTCACGCGTCGAGCTCTCGGCCCCAAGAAGCCCCCAGGAAGCCCCAGTATGCCCCCTAGAGGCCTCCGATCGGCCCGAAGGACTCACGGCGAGGCCCCCAAAAGCCCCCAATCAGCCCCCAATTGTCCTACGAGAGACCCCAATGGGTTGCAGAACAGCGCCGCAGAGATCAAAACTGCTTCTAAGAAGCATCCGAGAGATCTACCGCGAGATCCCAGCGAGCAAATAAGATGCCTCTGACCCGCGGCCCGGGCGCCTTGGCGGGGTGGGCCGAAGGCCAGTTAAGATCCGCCGTTGTCTCCTCTATCATCCGCAGTTCTCACACTGCTGCAAGCAGTCGTAATTCGCCCCCCTCATCCACCGGCGCCCGCGGTGATATTCCTGCCAATAGTCATCATCCTACTCTTGTCCAACATCTGGGCCCCCCCACTCTGGCGCGCGCGCCTCTGGGCAAGTTTTCGTGAGTGGGCCAAAGGCTGCGTCCCAGTTTCACAGCGCCACGCGCATGGGGGCACCCCTTTCAACCGTCCGCCCTCGGAGCCCCCGCGGGGGCCTCTCGGGCCAACTTGGAGGCCGAAGAAGTTGGGCGAGCTCGACAAAGGCCCTCCTCCGCAGCCACCGCTCGAGACCCGTCTCTCAAAGGCACGCTGGGCCCTCAACAATCAAGATGGCAAACTCAAGAGGGCCATGGACAAGCACCATAAGTGGCAACAGGACCAGGAGCAGCACTGGGAGCACGTGGTCTCGCTCAAGACCCACCTGGGCGTGCTGCAGGCCGAATGCGACAAGCTGGCAGCCTCGGCTCGCTCAGCTACTCCTCCGCCTGAACCCAAGCCCACACTCTCCCTCTCGGCGCTCTTGGAGGATGAGCTCGACGGTTTCGTCATCGATTTCGGCGATGTTTTCTCCATGGGCGGAGAGGAGGGGCTGGGCGATGACGAACTACGCCAAGCAGAGGAACGGCGGGACGCCCTCGTCAAGGGCCTCCAGGAGGGCGCCAAGAAGCTCTTTGCTGATGCGGCCACCAAGGCCAAGGAGGCGCGAGCCGCTCACCAGCGGCAGATGGATCGGCTTGCCTCCAAGCGACGCCGAGCCGAGGACAGCTACGGCGAGGCCCAGGCCACGCCAGGGGGAGTGGCTGCCTCTGGAGGCGCTGGGACTCCAGCGGCCGAGGGAACGCCGCGCGCGCCCTCAGCCCCCCAGGAGCCTTCGGCAACGGCCGCTTTCGAGAAGGAGCTCGCCCGCAGACAGCAGCAGATCGGATCAAGCTCCTGACCATGCCCACGATGGAAGCATGGTCGGCGAATCTTTCACTGGTGCTGGCGGCCCCGCGACTGCCACTTACAAGAGCAAGCAGCATCCAGAACACTCTCAGACGGAGAAGACCTGGCATTTTTACTTTCGCAATCTCTCCACTTGGGGCCCTGCAGCCACAGGCCTCATGGATGAACGACACTACGATGGTATCTTATTAGTGGAGACTCACGTTGGCGAGGAGCACTCTGATGACCTTCTTCGGCACTGGAGCAGGAATGGCTACAAGGCTACCTGCGCACCTGCCAGGCCGACTGACCGTGCCGAGCTTTCTGGAGGCGCGGTTGCGGGAATGAAGAACACATTCACCACCTCCTCCTCCGGGGACCTTGCCATGCAACAGGCGCAGCAGATCGGCATGAGAGACATCGCCTCCACCAGGGGGAACGTCGATTTCCACGACTTTGTTCCCATCGTATGGCATATCAACGGCACCTCGATATGCATCGTGGCGGCATATCTTACCTGCTCCATTGGCATTCGAGGCATCAGCCTTCAGAAGCTCGCGATCCTGGGCAGTTTCATCAAGAGCTTGGACATCCCGTGGGCCATCTTTGCTGACTGGAATGTTCCACCGTCTACCCTGATGCAGTCAGGGTGGCCCACCATGATTGGGGGGGGTCCCAGTAGCCCCGGCAGACGTGGAACACACTTGCACCATCGGCTCAGGATCTATGTTGGACTACGGCATTGTCTCACCGCATGCGCGGCTTCTGATATCTAGCCTCGCAGCAGACACATCAGTGGTTGTGGCCCGCAATGCAGTAGCTGGCAAAGCTCACTATAGACTCAAGATTGGTTTTCGAGTTCGAGCTGTGCTGGCCCAAGCTCGCCTTTATCATCTGCCACGTTCTTTCACGCATCAGCCTCTCCCTGGGAGGACGGCAGACCCTACTGGCAAAAGATCTCGCAAGGCGGCTACTGCGGCAGATACGGAGCAGAAGAAGCTGGTCAAGTCGGAGACGGCCCTGACCACCAAACCAACTGTCACAGGTTTGCCGCCGCCCAAGCTCACCCTTGCTGATCTGGAGGAGAAGTCCTCTGATGATGAACTGGAGCAGGACCTGCCCCCCGACCTCATGGGGGATGGCCCTGGAGACCTGGGGATGGGGGCCCTCTCTGAGGCTAATCGGGATCCTTCCAACGCGGACGTGGGCCATGAGGAGTTGCCCCCACCCCAGGCCCCCTCAATGCAGCAACACCTTTCCCGTGATGAAGTCTGGCGCAGTATTGATCTTGTTGGCTCAGATTTCCCCAACCAGCCTGCGGATTTCATCCAGCAGTCTCTCGCATTTCAAGTCTCGCAGTTATCAGCCCCCCATCTCGGAAGATTGCATGGCAATCGGGTTTCTGTGCTTGAGAATTTCCACATAAAAATAGTTGACAACTTACCCAATACAGCCAGTTCGTTTACTGGGCGAGCGGCTGCGAGACACTTCAGAGTCGCACCTATCAAGGCGCCAAAGCAGTGCATGGTCCAGGCTGACCCCGCCACGAAGTGGTGGGCTATTCTTTTGGCGCCTTTTGAGGGGCTGATCAGGAAAAGTTCGAAGATCCACTCAAGAGCGTGGTCATTCGGGGCCGCATCAAGGAGTTGGTCTGCACCTTGCCGGCCTCAGCAGCTCTTCCCCTGTCACCGACGGCCAGGAGGACATGGGCGGCCACCCTACACATAATCAATCATCTTACCCTGAATCAGCTAAAGCGGCTCAAGATAACAATCGAGAGTAATGCAGTTCGGGCACAGCGATTTTCAGCCACAGCCTCACGGAGAGGTTTTGATTCCTGGGTCCTCGCCATGGCCTCCACCGCCTCAGGCAAGCTCTATGACTTCATCAGGCACCCGCCAGTCACGCTGAACGAGATTCGAGTGGCTCAAGGGACCATTGCGACTCCCATTGAGATCATGACAGCCAAGAGGGACTGGTGGGAAAGGGCCTGGAGCAGCAAACGGTTCGACAAACGCAAGGTGATGGGCGCTTTCGCCAAGGCCCGTCAGAAAGCCTTGGACACACATTTGGAACCCATTTCAGTCGATCAGATCAGACATATTATGCGGCGTATCTCTCCCAAGAAAGCCAAAGGCTGCGAGGCTCTCAGCGTCAATGACCTCCGACGCCTACCTGATCAAGCTTTACACACGTTAGTTGAGATTTACCATGAAGTGGAGAGATGTGTTTCGTGGCCGTGGCAGCTCATGGTGGTTTTCACAAGTCGATTGCCGAAGTCGACCGACGACGACCGGGCGATAGGAGTGGCATCGCTATTGGTTCGACTTTGGGGGCCATCAGGAGCCCGCTGGACCGCGAGTGGTGCGCCCAGGCAGCTGGTCATTGGGATGGGGTTATCGCAGGATCTTCTTCCCTGCGAGCGGTGCTGATCCGAAATTTTGGTGGTGAAGCAGTCAGGATGTCCCCTCCCGGGGATTTGGTCCACTTGGAAGTTCTTTGGGGTCTCAAGGCATTCTACGATTCCCCGGACTGGGCGGCACTCATCACTGCCGCCGAGGATCGCAATTTCCCACCGCACACGCTGGCGCTGACAACGCAGCAATGTTTCGCTCCCAGAATCCTGAAGGAGTCGGGCCATTTTTGCCTTCCTATTCAGCCCCAAAGGGCAATGGTTGCAGGACTGAGGTCAGCGGTTGATCTCTCGCGCTGCATTCTTTACCGAACACTCGAAAGGATGTGTCAGGCTCACACCCCTGTTACTATCAAGTCATGGGTAGACGACCTCAACACTCGCATCACGACCCCACCGAAGTTTGCAGTCGACCAGCTCACCGAAGTTGCCACCATCCTGCGGGCCGACTGCAAAGAGCTGGACCTCATCATCTCCCCGAAGTCGAACATCCTCAGCTCAACTGTCTAGGCTGGGGCTGCCCTGGAGGCCAACTTGAAGCAGTTGGGGCTTGCAGTGCCGTGCAAAGATCGAGTTGTGGACTTGGGTTTTGACCGAGGCAACGTACGATATGGTCAAGCTAAACATAAGTAAAAGCTGAGAAGGCTCGCTTCAGATTTCACAAGATTGGCCACCTGGCCAGGGGTACCCTGGCGCAGTCACTGCCGCCATGCCTTGTGTTTCCTACGCTGGAAAGATGTATGGCACCCCTCCATCGGTCTCACTTCAGTGGCGCCGAGCTCTGGGGCGCAACCTGCGCAAGGGCTCCAGCCAACGCTCGCTGACCACCCAGCTCCAGTTGGACATGGGCCACTCGGACCCTGCGATCACCACGGCCATGGACGTGATCAACTCATGGGCGCTCTTCCTGGCCACCTCCGACGTCGACAGGCGGCTGATTGAGACGACCTGGGCCGGAGTTGTAGCGGACACGTTGGTCCGACAGCAAAGCACCTGGTCTCGCCACATCTGGGGAATTTGCTCGGCCACGGTGCGCTTGCTTCCGAGGTGTTCTCGGGGGCCCCTAGGCCCTTGGAGGTGGGCGAGCCCCGATGGTATCGAGTTTTTCGCCCCGCCTGAAAAGCACGAGGCTGGGGCGCTGGACTTTTCTGATTTGAAGCAGGTGTTTTCTCCTTCCATCCAGCGGTCCTTGTGGGCTGCTGCCTCGGACGAATATCCGGGGCTTGGTCTCGAGCGAGGAATCCCTGACATTGGGCCCCTCAGCGGTTTTCAGAGGAGCCTCGAGCGAAAGGGAGAGCGTGCGCTGTTTGGAGATCACCAAGCCATCGCGACTGGCAATTTGTGGCCAGCCCAGCGGGTTCACGACTGCTATCCCGAGGTGGACCCCGTGCGCCCCCGTTGCAAAGAGGCCCCAGAGACCCCGAGGCATGCCCACTGGGAATGCTTGCGTAACAATGTGTTGCAGGGCGTAGCTCCAGCTGCCGTCGTGGAACGAGCGCGGCTGGACTGCGACGAAGTTGGGCGAGCTCGACAAAGGCCCCCCTCCGCAGCCGCCGCTCGAGACCCGTCTCTCAAAGGCACGCTGGCCCCTCAACAATCAAGATGGCAAACTCAAGAGGGCCATGGACAAGTGCCATAAGTGGCAACAGGACCTGGAGCAGCACTGGGAGCACGTGGTCTCGCTCAAGACCCACCTGGGCGTGCTGCAGGCCGAATGCGACAAGCTGGCAGCCCCGGCTCGCTCAGCTACTCCTGCACCTGAACCCAAGCCCACGCTCTCCCTTTTCGGCGTTCTTGGAGGATAGGCTTGACGGTTTCGTCATCGAGTTTGGCGATGTTTTCTCCATGGGCGGAGAGGAGGGGCTGGGCGATGACGAACTACGCCAAGCAGAGGAACGACGGGAGGCCCTCGTCAAGGGCCTCCAGGAGGGCGCCAAGAAGCTCTTTGCTGATGCGGCCACCAAGGCCAAGGAGGCGCGAGCCGCTCACCAGCGGCAGATGGATCGGCTTGCCTCCAAGCGACGCCGAGCCGAGGACAGTTATGGCGAGGCCCAGGCCACGCCAGGGGGAGTGGCTGCTTCTGGAGGCGCTGGGACTCCAGCGGCCGAGGGAACGCCGCGTGCGCCCTCAGCCCCCCAGGAGCCTTCGGCAACGGCCGCTTTCGAGAAGGAGCTCGCCCGCAGACAGCAGCAGATCGGATCAAGCTCCTGACCATGCCCATGATGGAAGCATGGTCGGCGAATCTTTCACTGGTGCTGGCGGCCCCGCTACTGCCACTTACAAGAGCAAGCAGCATCCAGAACACTCTCAGACGGAGAAGACTTGGCATCTTTACTTTCGCAATCTCTCGACTTGGGGCCCTGCAGCCAAAGGCCTCATTGATGAACGACACTACGATGGTATCCTATTAGTGGAAACTCACGCTGGCGAGGAGCACTCCGATGACCTTCTTCGGCACTGGAGCAAGAATGGCTACAAGGCTATCTGCGCACCTGCCAGGCCGACTGACCGTACCAAGCTTTCTGGAGGCGCGGTTGTGGGAATGAAGAACACATTCACCACCTCCTCCTCCGGGCACCTTGCCATAAATAAGGCGCAGCAGATCGGCATGAGAGACATCGCCTCCACCAGGGGGAACGTCGATTTCCACGACTTTGTTCCCATCGTATGGCATAGCAACGGCACCTCGATATGCATCGCGGCGGCATATCTTACCTGCTCCATTGGCGTTCGAGGCACCAACCTTCAGAAGCTCGCGATCCTGGGCAGTTTCATCAAGAGCTTGGACATCCCGTGGGCCATCTTTGCTGACTGGAATGTTCCACCGTCTACCCTGATGCAGTCAGGGTGGCCCACCATGATTGGGGGGGGGGTCCCAGTAGCCCAGGCAGACGTGGAACACACTTGCACCATCGGCTCAGGATCTATGTTGGACTACGGCATTGTCTCACCGCGTGCGCGGCTTCTGATATCTAGCCTCGCAGCAGACGCATCAGTGGTTGTGGCCCGCAATCCAGTTGCTGGCAGAGCTCACTACAGACTCAAGATTGATTTTCGAGTTCGAGCTGTGCTGGCCCAAGCTCGCCTTTATCATCTGCCACGTTCTTTCACGCATCAGCCTCTCCCTGGGAGGAAGGCAGACCCTACTGGCAAAAGATCTCGCAAGGCGGCTACTGCGGCAGATACGGAGCAGAAGAAGCTGGTCAAGTCGGAGACGGCCCTGACCACCAAACCAACTATCCCAGGTTTGCCGCCGCCCAAGCTCACCCTTGCTGATCTGGAGGAGAAGTCCTCTGATGATGAACTGGAGCAGGACCTGCCCCCCGACCTCATGAGGGATGACCCTGGGGACCTGGGGATGGGGACCCTCTCTGAGGCTGACCGGGATCCTTCCAACGCGGACGTGGGCCATGAGGAGTTGCCCCCACCCAGGCCCCCTCAATGCAGCAACACCTTTCCCGTGATGAAGTCTGGCGCAGTATTGATCTTGTTGGCTCAGATTTCCCCAACCAGCCTGCGGATTTCATCCAGCAGTCTCTCGCATTTCAAGTCTCGCAGTTATCAGCCCCCCATCTCGGAAGATTGCATGGCAATTGGGTTTCTGTGTTTGAGAATTTTTACATAAAAATATTTGACAATTTACCCAATACAGCCAGTTCGTTTACTGGGCGAGCGGCTGCGAGACACTTCACAGTCGCACCTATCAAGGCGCCAAAGCAGTACATGGTCCAGGCAGACCCCGTCACGAAGTGGTGGGCTATTCTTTTGGCGCATTTTGAGGAGCTGATCAGGAAAAGTTCGAAGATCCACTCAAGAGCGTGGTCATTCGGGGCCGCATCAAGGAGTTGGTTTGTGCCCTGCCGGCCTCAGCAGCTCTTCCCCTGTCATCGACGACCAGGAGGAAAGGGACGGCCACCCTACACATAATCAATCATCTTACCCTGAATCAGCTAAAGCGGCTCAAGATAACAATCGAGAGTAATGCAGTTCGGGCACAGCGATGTTCAGCTACAGCCTCACGGAGAGGTTTTGATTCCTGGATCCTCACCGTGGCCTCCACCACCTCAGGCAAGCTCTATGACTCCATCAGGCACCCGCCAGTCACGCTGAACGAGATTCGAGTGGCTCAAGGGACCTTGGCGACTCCCATTGGGATCATGACAGCCAAGAGGGACTGGTGGGAAAAGGCCTGGAGCAGCAAACGGTTCGACAAACACAAGGTGATGGGCGCTTTCGCCAAGGCCCGTCAGAAAGCCTTGGACACATGGAACCCATTTCAGTCGATCAGATCAGACATAGTCTGCGGCGTATCTCTCCCAAGAAAGCCAAAGGCTGCGAGGCTCTCAGCGTCAACGACCTCCGACGCCTACCTGATCAAGCTTTACACACGTTAGTTGAGATTTACCATGAAGTGGAGAGATGTGTTTCGTGGCCGTGGCAGCTCATGGTGGTTTTCACAAGTCTATTGCCGAAGTCGACCGACGACGATCGGGCGATAGGAGTGGCATCACTACTGGTTCGACTTTGGGGGCCATCAGGAGCCCGCTGGACCGCGAGTGGTACGCCCAGGCAGCTGGTCATTGGGATGGGGTTATCGCAGGATCTTCTTCCCTGCGAGCGGTACTGATCCGAAATTTTGGTGGTGAAGCAGTCAGGATGTCCCCTCCCGGGGATTTGGTCCACTTGGAAGTTCTTTGGGGTCTCAAGGCATTCTACGGTTCCCCGGACTGGGCGGCACTCATCACCACCGCCGAGGATCGCAACTTCCCACCGCGCACGCTGGCGCTGACAATGCAGCAACGTTTCGCTCCCAGAGTCCTGAAGGAGTCGGGCCATTTTTCCCTTCCTATTCAGCCTCAAAGGGCAATGGTTGCAGGACTGAGGTCAGCGGTTGTTCTTTACCGAACACTCGAAAGGATGTGTCAGGCTCACACCCCTGTTAATATCAAGTCATGGGTAGACGACCTCAACACTCGCATCACGGCCCCACCGAAGTTTGCAGTCGACCAGCTCACCGAAGTTGCCACCATCCTGCGGGACGACTGCAAAGAGTTGGGCCTCATCATCTCCCCGAAGTCGAACATCCTCAGCTCAACTGTCTAGGCTGGGGTTGCCCTGGAGGCCAACTTGAAGCAGTTGGGGCTTGCAGTGCCGTGCAAAGATCGAGTTGTGGACTTGGGTTTTGACCGAGGCAACGTACGATATGGTCAAGCTAAACATAATTAAAATCTGAGAAGGCTCGCTTCAGATTTCACAAGATTGGTCACCTGGCCAGGGGTACCCTGGCGCATCGAAGGATCGGATTACGTCTTGCAGTCACTGCCGCCATGCCGTGTATTTCCTACGCTGGAAAGATGCATGGCACCCCTCCATCGGTCCTTCTTCAGTGGCGCCGAGCTCTGGGGCGCATCCTACGCAAGGGCTCCAGCCAACGCTCGCTGACCACCCAGCTCCAGTTGGACATGGGCCACTCGGACCCTGCGATCACCACGGCCATGGACGTCATGGGCGCTCTTCCTGGCCACCTCCGACGTCGACAGGCGGCTGATTGAGACGACCTGGGCCAGAGTTGTAGCGGACACGTTGGCCCGACAGCAAGCACCTGGTTTCGCCACATCTGGGGAATTTGCTCGGCCACGGTTCGCTTGCTTCTGAAGTATTCTTGGGGGCCCCATAGGCCCTTGGAGGTGGGCGAGCCCCGATGGTATCGAGTTTTTCGCCCCGCCTGAAAAGCACGAGGCTGGGGTGCTGGACTTTTTTGATTTGAAGCAATTGTTTTCTCTTTCCATCCAGCGGTCCTTGTGGGCTGCTGCCTCGGAGGAATATCTGGGGCTTGGTCTCGAGCGAGGAATCCCTGACATTCGGCCCCTCAGCGGTTTTCTGAGGAGCCTCGAGCGAAAGGGAGAGCATGCACTGTTGGGAGTCCACCAAGCCATCGCGACTGGCAATTTGTGGCCAGTCCAGCGGGTTCACGATTGCTATCCCGAGGTGGACCCCGTGCGCCCCCGTTGCAAAGAGGCCCCAGAGACCCCGAGACATGCCCACTGGGAATGCCCGCGCAACAATGTTTTGCAGGGCGTAGCTCCAGCTGCCGTCGTGGAACGAGCGCGGCTGGACTGTGACGAGCTGCCCTGTTTCTGGCACCGGGGCCTGGTGCCGGGATCCTGGGTTGCAGTGGGCTCCCCCAATGATTCCCCCCCGCCTCTCGATCTCTGCCTCTCGCCCTCGGAGTTGGAGTTTCCTTGCGGCGTGGTGCTTGGAGCTGGCGATGCCAGCGGGGGGGGCCACTCAGCCGACCCTAGACTGTGGCGCATTGGTTGGTCCACCCTTATTTTCCAGGATGGAAGCCACCTCCAGACGAGCAAATTGTCGGAAATCAAATCCTGGGGTGGGCCACTGGAATTAAAACAATCTGTGGGCAGGGGAGAGCTCCGAGCTTTCGGGACCTCCCTGAGGGCCACGAGGCCCATTCCGATTGAGGTGGAACGCCATTTTATCACCGATAGCGCCTATGTCCTCCGCGGTTTCTCAGTTATAATGCGCGGGGACTTCCCTACCAGCAACATTACCGATTGGTTAGAGCTCCAAACGGTGATCAGAGACACCCCTGGGTTAGTTGTGCGGCTTTTCAAGGTTGAGTCCCATCTTTCGGTCGCTGAAGCCCAGGAGCGCTCGATCCCGCTGCCGTATTTCTTTGCGAATCAAAGTGCGGACGAGTTGGCCGAGGTTTTTGCTGAGGAAGCTTAGTTTCCTTACTCGCAGCGTGCTCAGATTGAGTTGGTTGATAAGGTCGCGGCGGTGGTCGGGAAGCATTTAGCGGTGGTCCTCATGGACTGCGCCTCCCACCGTGTCCGTCCCCCGCCGCGGCCCAAGGTTGAAGGTCCTAAACGTTCTAAGCGTGTTCGTGAGACTTTAAAGCTCAGCCGTGCCCTGAATAAGTCACAACGCAAGATCCCGAATCCTCACCGCCCATTTTGGCAGTGCTCCTTGTGTGACGGACGCACGGCTAGGAAATTCGCCTTCAATTTTCTGAATGCGCCGCGCCGCGCTGTTGCCCGCTGCGCGGAGCCGTCGTTTTTTGTTTGTTTGTTTTTTTTTTCGGGCGAGTCATTCACCAGACTCACCGACTCCAGACGGGGGTCTAGGGCACGGTGTTTTGCTCTGCGCGTGGACTGCATGGCCGATTTCGGGTCCGTTCCGATGGCGTGGGCAAGTCTTGTCGACCGGTCGCGCGCAGTGGGCGCAATAATCTGGCGGCCCTCCTCCTGGGCCAGCTTCCACGGCAGAGGGCAAAGCAGTGCATAACAGTTTTCTCGACTAGACGATCTCATTAGGCTGGCCAGCTTTTCGCCCCCCCCTCGCGGGGCCCAAGTTTCCTGCTTCACAACGGCGTCATGGCTGGGTTGGCGCGGGGGCGAATGGCGCCCCGACCGCGGCCCCCCCCTCTTGTCTCGTCGCCCTGCTAGTCTGTGTCCCTTTCTTTGGGGCGGAAGGCGGCGGGTCCTTGATCGCTCTGCCCAGTTGGTCTCTGGCCGTATCTCGAGGGCCCGCCATGGGGGCGCTGGCTCAGGGTGCGAGACGGGCCCGCACCTGGGGCAGTCCAGGGGCCGTCCAGGCGTCCGCTCTCAGGGTTAGGCACGCCTGGGGTTTCCTGGCTGTCGTCCTGGCGTCGCCCTTTCGTTTAATGTATAAGGCCCGATGGGACGAACCCCAGGGCAGATTTCAGTGTGCATGCCCCACATATGGGGCGATGCTTGCCGTCGTCCTGGCGCTCGCTGCACCTGGGGCGGCAGGTCTCGTCGTCCTTGCGTGGGTGGTCGATCTGTTTCTCTGGTGGCTGCGCTGCCACCTTGTGTTTTCACGTGCATGGCGGTGCAGGTTACGCAGCCTGCCCTAGTACCCGAGCCTTGGGGTACCCACGGTTAACCGTAAGTATGTAGTGCTAAAGTCGCAAGTGCACAGCAGTAAGTGCACAGTTGCGTTCTCGATGGGGTGCACGGTGCACGGTACTGCAAAGTAAAATCTAATGCTAAAAGCCAATGCTAAAAGCCAATGCTAGCAGCCAATGCTAAAAGCCAATGCTAAAGGCCAATGCTAAAAGTCAATGCTAAAAACCAGTGCTAAAAGCCAATGCTAACAGCCAGCGCTACAAGCCAATGCTGAAAGCCAACGCTAAAAGCCAATGCTAAAAGCCAATGCTGAAAGCCAATGCTAAAATCCAATGCTAAAACCCAATGCTAAAATCCAATGCTAAAAACCAATACTAAAAGCCAATGTGGAAATCCAATGCTAAAAAAACAATGCTGAAACCCAATGCTAAAAGCCAATGGTAAAAGCCAATGCTAAAATCAAATGCTAGAAGCCAAAGCTAAAAGCAAATGCTAAACGCCAGGGCGAGAAGCCAATGCTAAACTCCAATGCTAAAAGCCAATGCTACAAGCCAATGCTACAAGCCAATGATAACGGCGCCGAACTCTTGCGCGCCGAAACCCGCGGCGCCGAAGTCATGCGGAAACCGCGGCAAGGGGCTGAAACCCAATGCTAAACTCCAATGCGAAAAACCAGTGCTAAACGCCAATGCTAAAAGCCAATGCTAAAAAGCCAATGCTAAAAGCCAATGCTAAACGTCAATGCGAAAAGCAAATGCTAAAAGCCAATGCTAAAAAGCCAATGCGAAAATCCAATGCGAACTGCGCCGAACTCTTGCGCGCCGAAGCCCGCGGCGCCGAAGTCATGCGACAACCGCGGCAAAAGGGCGAACATCAAATGTTAAAACCCAATGCTGAAATCCAATGCTAAAAGCCAATGCTAAAAGCCAGCGCAAAACATCCAATGCTAAAAAGCCAATGCTAACGCCAGTGCTAAAAGCCAATGCTTAAAGCCAATGTTAAAAGTCACGGTTAAAAGCCAATGCTAACATTCAATGCGAAAACCCAATGCTAAAATACAATGCTAACGGCGTCGAGCTCTTGAGCGCCGAAACCCGCGGCGCCGAAGTCATGCGGAAACCGCGGCAAGAGGCTGAAACCCAATGCTAACATCCAATGCTAACGGCGCCGAACTCTTGCGCGCCGAAACCCGCGGCGCCGAAGTCATGCGGAAACCGCGGCAAGGGGCGCGCTAAAATCCAATGTTACAATACAATGGCAAAAACCAATGCTAATGCCCAATGCTAAGAGCCAATGCTGAATGCCAATGCTAAAATCCAATGCTAACAGCAAATGCGAAACGCCAATGTTAAAAGCCAGTGCTAAAAGCAAATACTAAAAGCAAATGCTAAACGCCAATGCTAAAAGCCAATGCTAAAACCCAAAGCTACAATCCAATGCGAAAACCCAATGCCAAAATCCAATGCTAACGGCGCCGAAATCTTGCGCGCCGAAACCAGCGGCGCCGAAATCATGCGGAAACCGCGGCAAGGGGCTAACATCCAATGCGACAATCCAATGCTAAAACCCAATGCTAAAATCCAATGCTAAAAGCCAATGCTTAAAGCCAATGCTAGAAACCAATGCGAAACGCCAATGCTAAAAGCCAATGCGAAAAGCCAATGTCAAGCGCCAATGCTAAGAGCCAGTGCTAAAATCCAATGCTAAAACCCAGTGCTAAAATCCAATGCTAAAGCCCAATGCTAAAACCCAAATGCTAAAATCCAATGCTAAATCCAATGCTAAAGCCCAGTGCCAACGGCGCCGAATTCTTGCGCACCGAAGCCCGCGGCGCCGAAATCATGCGGAAACGACAGCAAGGTGCTCAAATGCAATTCCCAAAGTCAATGCTAACGTCCAATGCTGAAATCCAATGTTATAATCAAATGCGAACGGCGCCAAATTTATGCGTGCCGAAACCCGCGGCGCCGAAATCATGCGGAAACCCCAGCAAGGTTAAAATCCAATACTAAAATCCAATGCCCAGACCCCATGCTAAACTCCAATGCTAAAATCCGATACGCAAGCCCAATGCTAAAACCCAATGATAAGAATCAATGCTAAAATCCAAGTTTAACCTCCAGTGCTAAAAGACAATGCTAAAAGCCAATGCTAACGGCGGCAAGGTGCTAAAATCCAATGCGGAAATCCAATGCTAAAACCCAATGCAAACGGAAGTCCCGGCAAGGCGGTAAGCCCAATGCTTAAATCCAATGCTGAAATACAATGCTAACGGCGACGAACGCTTGAGCGCCGAACACCGCGGCGCTGAATCATGCGGAAAACCCGGCAGGGTGCCAAAATCCAATGTTAAAATCCAACGCTACACTCCAATGCTAAAATCCAATGCTAAAATCAAATGCCAAAATCCAATGCTAAAATACAATGCTAACGGCGACGAACTCTTGTGCGCCGAAACCCGCGGCGCCGAGGTCATGCGGAAGCTGCGGCAAGGGGCTCAAAGCCAATGCTAAAAGCCAATGCTAAAAGCCAATGCTAAAAGCCAATGCTAAAAGCCAATGCTAAAATCCAATGCTAAAATCCAATGCTAAAAGCCAGTGCTAAAATCCAATGCTAAAA